ATATACACACGCATACATATATATATATATATATATACACATACATCCATGCATGCATACATACATATATATATATATACACATACAAACAAACTAACTCACTCACTCACTCACTCACTCACTCACTCACTCACTCACACACACACACACACACTTGTCACGTGCGTATGTATATAAAGTTCCATAGCAATAATATTTATATATGTATATGTTTGCGTACATACCTATATACATATATATATATATATATATGTATGTATATATATATATGTATATATGTATATATACATATATACATATACATTATATACATATATATATATACATATGTATATATATATATATATTATACATCTATATATACATCTATATCTATATATATATATATATATATATATATGTATGTATATATATATATATATATATGAAACCGCCAGCCTCCGTGGTCTCTCCCTGCGGAATCGGCTCTCCGCGGGCGCTCGGCTTCGTCCACAACGACGCCAGCGCGGCCACGGAGATCTTGGAGGCGTTGGAAATCGGTCTTTAAAGCTTTTGTTGGGGTTTTGGGGATCTTTTGCGGTCTGCAGGGTTTCAGCTCGTTTCAGGGTGTTTTTTTTAAAGGTTTGGGCTTTAGGATAAGGCGGGGGGGCTTTAAGCTAAAATAGGCCATAAAGATTTCGGTTTAAGATTGTTTACATGCTTTTTTGTCGAAGGATCTTTCGTCCTGCTGAGTGTAGGGTTCAGGGTCCCAGGTGTAAGTTAGGGGCCTGTCAGATTTCTATTTGCTTTCCCGGCACCAATTCCAACCTCAGAATGCGAAACCAACTCGGTGTTGTAGCAAAAGGTGCACTCAGGGCATCCGAAACTCTAGCAAGCTGGTTCAATCTTCGGGTTCAAACCATGCATATACTCGCCAGGCATCCCTATACAGTAGTACTTCCCCAGGCAGTCTGAAGCAGCCCGAACGGATGCTTCTTTGCGCCTGCTCTCCATGTCGACTCCCAGCCATTTGCACCTCGAAAGGCTCCAGCCATGGCTTTGCTCAACTCTAGTCCAAGCTTACCCTAAGGGTCCAAGTACCCAAATAGTATGTGCTTTTGGCCTTTATGTAGTCCCTATATAGGTACTNNTTCGGGTACATGGACCCTTAGGGTTCCGTAAGTACTAGACTAGTCTCTCAGGGATGGCTGCACATGGGCATGATGTCCAGCCGAGTTTAAACAGCTGAACCACAACTTCTGCTGGATCCTTGTGTGGCACCTCGGTGCCCCAGAAGGCACCAGGCTACCAAGCTCTGCTTAGCCCTTGAATCCTAAATCCGAAACCCTCCTGACACACCACAAACCCTGAACCTTGCCTGCTGCGTGCGGCTGGGTGCTGCTGGGTGCGTCCCGGATGCCTCAGGAACAGCCGGCCCTGAAGGGTTCGCTATGCCCGCAAAACCGGGGTTTCGGGTATAGGGAGGGGGTTTCTAGTCTGAAGGGGGGAGAAAATATCCAAGTAGGCAGTGAGGATCTGTCCCAATGGCGAAGACATAAATGTCGCCGCACATGTGTGAATGTGGAGGCAAAAAGAAGAAGCTCAGACAAGGAAACCCATATCGGGTCATATTATCGGGATAGCAGACATATAGTCAACGTGCATACAGTTAACTGAAACAGAAACTACAAATAGATCCAGATAGACAGACACATGCAGATACCCAGCCAGCCAGCCAGCCAGCCA